TGCTGTGATTTTATTGGCCAAACCTAAATTGATGTACGTGAAGTTACACGAAACTGATGTACGAAAATCATTCCTCATATTTTAAATACTGTATATTATTCTCTAAGTTTTTTTTTTAAAAAAAAATTTTTTAATATAATTGAAGTTAGGAGCGTAAGCTTTGCATCAGATGAATGTTTTCCTAACCCCAAATCGAGAAAACTGTCTTAGTGTTACCAACCTAAAAAATTTAGTTAAAAAAATTTCGCTGCTAGATTAGAGTTAGGTTTTGCTATTAGTTTAGGTTAAGAAGAATTTTCTAAAACCAAAATTTTGCAAGAAAAACTTTATGAACGATTTTTTGGATGGTTTTGATTTTTTGCGTTTCTTCTGCATAACACCTGATCTTGAAATATGGTTGAAAACCAACTAGTTGACAAAAACAACTACTGTCAACTATAACGGACCGGAATCACCAGTTTAACGGACCAAATTTGAAATACCGAATTTTTAATATATAATTTATAATAACGGATTTTAAGGCCATATTACGTATAACAAAACCGATTTTATTATCTAAATAATGAATTCAATATAATGCGACAACTGCAACCAATAAGAATGCAATGTATATATATATAGGTATATAGTTGATTTCTTTAATTTGATTGGCCAATCAACAATTTTAGTCACATGATAGGAAAAATTGACTAATCGATTGGAAAAATTTTTACCAACTCAGAACACTATCGAGAAGGGAATAAGATCATGAGCTCTGCAGAAAAAAAACCAAATATAACTTATCAAAAAACAACGCTTAGAATCACGCAAACAGGCAAAATAAAAAAGTATGTCGAACGTGGGCTAAAGACATTTCAGGTATTGTTAATTCTTTTACGCGTCACAATAATATATATAATCTGATCCCATTCTTAAAAAGGATGAACCACACGTTGAAGACCTCGTAAATATTGTCCTAATATTATCGGGCAAAGGTCCAACGATCACAAAAACGATAACGATAGCTGAAATACTTAAACGAAAGATGAATAATTTACATCAATATACACAAATTGGAAGATATAAAGTTAGAGAAAAAATCGACGATGCCGTTAATAATATTCTGTATGGTGATGATAACGAGGCCACTGCTAGTTCAAATGATGAAAAGGATGACAATGGGTAATTTATAAATTCATTATCAATATAAGATGGTACATACTAATTACTGTTTTTCACTAAGAGCAACACCGGTTATCACTATATACCTTTGTACAAAAGCCGTGCCATGCTTGGAAAACATTCTGAGTAGGTGCCGATAATGGAGTACCAGCTATGATGACGGTCATGTGAGATTCTACTTGAGGTCTACACTCTGATTTAGCGAAATTAACAATCTAAGTGTAATTTTTTCAAACTTTAGCGAAGATATTGACAGTCACTTATTTAAAATCAATAAATTTTATTTTGTTTTGATTCTATAGAATTGTATTATTCAAGTAAAATAATTTTTATCGGTTTTGGATAGTCGTTAGCGATTGTAGTCGATTGGCATTAGCCGATAGAATCGGCTTAGTCGACTAAGGTTGTTCTTAAGCGTATCCCTCAATGAATGTTCAGAACGATCTGGTTGGCTAAAAAAATTGATGATAACCATTTAAATGGAGCTACGACTGTCAATTGTCTTAATCTGGATGGTTAAATTTTAAATCCGTATTTCGCGTTATGAATTTTGCAACAGAATTTGTTGTAAAGGTTACTTCAATTAATCGCAGAGATTAAGCACTATCAAACTACATTAAAGGAGCGTCTAAGTTAGTCGATTTTTTAAAAATTTAACATAGATTGTTCCCAAACTGTGTAATTTGCTAGTGTTTGATATGTTTCTCAATCATTTTGATTAACTGAATCGATCCTGATAATAACTATGCTGAAAATTCATTATGAAAATGTGTATTTTAAATTAGACAATGATTAAAGTTGTATGAGTAGCTAGTTGTACACTTTTTTCATAATTGCTCTTTATGGCTGTTGTAATACAACTATTAAGTTAAACATATTATTGTTAAAATTCTGAAGCATAAGTGTTCATTATGACATTAAAAAAAACTTATTTAATTTATTATTATTATATTTATTTTTTTAGAAGTTTATAAAGAATTGTATTTTTTTCTTTTTTTTGTTGATTATAAAAAAATTAATACAATATAAAAATAAAATAAAATAAATAATATTTACTTTTTCAATCTTTTTTTTCTGTATTAGAAGATGTTTTATCATTAACAGATGGATTAAATTCTTGATTATTTTCTAATTATTTTTATTTTTTAATTTATAATTTAGAAATTATTCAAATTATTATTATTTTTTTTGAACTTTAATAACATTGTCAATTGGGGGTTTTTTTTAAAATATTAAAGTAAGTACTTGCAATCTAAGATTTTATTGATAGTTTATTTGGCTAGCATCCAAAAAATCTGTGCTAGGTTTTGTTGATTATCAGTCATATAACAGGTCAAATGCATAATTTGAATCTTGAATCTTTGTTACTATATATTTGTATGTATAATATGCAGATTGTTATGAACAATAGCCAATTTTCATTTTTAGTATTTTTTTATTAAGTGATGCATTTCAATCTTTAAATATGCATAATATATATAAACAAATAATTATTCAAATAATTTTTTTAAATGTTATTATTGTCATTAATTACAGTTAGCTATTAGTTTAATATATATTAATTTATTTATACTTTGATTATAAGCATGAAAACAAGTTTAGTTAGTATAACTATATTATATATTATTAAAAAAATATTATAACATTTTTTATGCATGTTTTATTTAAATACTTTTTTTTTTGTTGTTCTTTTTTTCTATATTTTAATTTATTTTTTTAAGATCTGTTGTGAAAATAATAATAAAAGGTTCACTGTATATAAAGAAAAAATTAAAACAAACAAAACACATGATATTAAATTTTTTTATATCATAATCTTAAATATAACAGAGTTGCAAAATGAAAAAATATCAAGTAATATATTAAATGATATCTCAGTACTATTACTTAAATATGTTACTCTTTAATTATTATATAATTATAATTATGTTATTTCTAAATTTTACTAATTTCTTGAATTTATCACAACAGAAGATTTATAATTCATCAATTAAAATAAATCTTTTTACAAATGTTAATAATATTAATAATATACAATAATAGTTTTTCTAAATTTAAAAAATTATTAAAAACAACAATGTCAAAAACTAAAGAATTTCAAATTAAGGTAACTAAAATTATATTTTAAGAGTTGCATCATTATATTCATAACAAATAAGTAAAAAAAAGCAAAAAAATACTACAATAAAAAATTCACATTTATTATAAGCTAGGAACATAAGTTGTACAGTTACAATACATTTTCTGCTTAAACATTGGTATTTCCAAACAGCATATCTATTTGAAATTAATATCAAATTTATTTATAATTATATAATTTATTCTGCTAAGTCTCTCAGCTTCTGATAAGCCAAACAAGAGGTTAATAACAAATATTTAGAGCTTTTTGTCAGTAAATATTCATCTGCAATAGCTTTATATCTGATTAATTCTATTTGAATTAAGATGACATCCAGTACATACTTATAAAAATGCATTATATTTGTGTAAAAGTAATAACCAGAAGTTCATTTATCTTTTAGCAGATCATATATAAAATTTTGACTATAGTTATGTTTTAAATTTATTTAAAAAATATTATAATAAGAACTTTAAAAAATGGAATAGTTTATCAATATTTTAATAACTTAAAAAAAAAGTTAATAATTACAATAATACAAAGCAAAGTTATGCAGTACTTTAAGAATATAATTCATATTTAAAAAAACTTTTATACTTTGCATAATTACAAATCTAATATGCTGTGTTTATAAGAAAATCTTTCAACCTAGCAAAATTTACTATGTTGATGTATCAGCATCTTTTGAGTTATTGAATACTTCTATAATGTTATTTTATACAAGTTATATTACAGAAACTTTGTCTCTTGATCTTATTATAATATCTGATAAGTTAGAAATAACTCTTAAAAATAGAATAAATCTTTTAAAAGAACTTCTTCCATAGCATGCTTTCTCTAATTATGAGTCTAATATTGGTTCAGTTGTCTTTTTTATAAATGACTCATATTTTGAAAGAAATGTATTAGCAAATTGTTAGTTACAATCAAAGCAATTCTTGTATATATTTTATGTTCTTTAGGCATTTTGGTGTTGACTATATAATTCAAAATATGATATAAATAAAGAGCATAGAAAACCTATAATAGAAAATATAAAAAAAATATTATATATACAAACAAAAACCAAAATGTTTGAATTTTATAATAAACTAAAAACTAGTTATTATCATATATACTCACAATTACAAAACTATTTTGAATTATTTTAAAAATAGTATCAATTATAGGCTCTATCTTTTTATTTAAAATTTCTTCTATGTAGTAATAACATTAACAATTATGTAAATCATAGTTTTAGATTGCTAAAAGACATTATATTTTTATATATTTAAGCCTATAATATTGTTTAGGTTTTCTAGTTTATTACTACAAGCATAGAACATTTTTATAAATATTGATTACTTGAAATAGCACATAGTCATCCTAGTTATTTGAAAGTTGCTAAATAATTTTTATGCTATAGTTAAAATGCAATTAATGCAACAAAAATTTAGCAAACTGATATTGAAACTAAGTATTTAGTTCTAAGTTAAAAGGAAGATACCAATCTATTTTATATAGTTAATATTGAAGTTTGGTCTTATATCTACTTCATTGTATTATTAGAAGCATCCTGTAAACATTAGAATGCAGTAGCAGTAAAATATAATATTGGTTTACTAAACTTTTTTCAATCATTAACATCTAATAATTATACTAATTTTGCATATATTGCACATGATATATAATTAATAATTTTAAATATTCAAATTTATGTTAAATATTATATTAATCATTATCAATAAGCTTTATTTTAAGGAACTATAATAAATAATTATTTTTTTTATATATTATTTTATAATTATACAAACAATAATCTATCTAGTACTGCTCATATCAGTCCCAATTCTCAAACCTATATCCTACTCCCCCTTCCTCCACTACATTATGTTCTGGATGCAACCTTAATTCCAATGCAATTGCCAACAAATGCACTATCTTTATTCCTACAAACCTGGC